CTGGAGTATGAAACTCGGAGCGTCAGAGTAGGAGTAAAGGAGTGTGGACTTAAAGGGGAGCTGCAATCATACTTAAGCGTCTACCTCTTTTGCGGTTTCCACGTCTCTTTGGGTTCGGGTAAGCCAGCGGGCACGGAGAGAATAACTAAATATCAGTGAGTCATATTTTAACCGGACGACGCGGAAACCTCCTCCACCTACGAGGGCGACCCGCGTTGCCGAAAGCGCGGAATATGTGACGTCTTTGGTCCTGGGCTTACTACTGGTCAGAGCCGCTAAAAGCTTTTTTTTTAGTCGATACAAAATATAGGTGTCGCGAACCGTTTCAATTATGTATGAAAGTAGTTTTTGTTCAGTATTTTAGATCAGAAAAGAAACAAATGCAGTTTATAAAGTACGGAAACAAAAAATGACTTCTCATCATACCCGCCACCAAGCGGTGAAAAAAAACGGCGCATACTAGAAAGGCGTAGTGGGATGAGGCTCCGACGAACAATGGGCTTAGAAAGGTCCCGGATGTACGCGGTGGCACTGCGGTCGTATACCGGCTCGAAAATCCGACCGGTTCCGAGCGTTCCCAAGGCTTTCGCCGCGGGCTTGGCTGGCGATTTGACCCTTTGGCGGTATGGCAGCGCGAAGTGGCTCTCGTTCTGAACTGATCTTTACCCCGTGTTTGCCGTCGTTTGTGGCCAATGAAGTGTTATGCCGAATTAGTCTTTAATCGCGCGGCAAATGCAATGCGAGCTGCCCTGGCCGCCCGCTTCATACAGCCTAGTCAACACGTGCTTTAGTGGCACCCTCTCGAGCCGTTGACACTGAGTGCGGCAGCCGTGAGCGCTCGATGAGCTCACTACTTCACGGCCACTCAAACCAGGACCTACGACGTCATGAAGGATGTTATTTTTTGCTTGTTTCTGTAAGTCTAATTTGCCTATAACTTTTAAAATAAAGCGAAATTTGAGAAAAGAAAAGTTTCTTTAAATTACTACGTTCAATGCGCTCAGGTTCGGTCCAAATTAAAAACCAGTCAAAAAGTTATTGCAGGGCCACTTTAACGCTCCCAATGACGACAAACGAGCAAAAAACATGTCTTCAGCACGCTGCCGGCCAGCCTCTGCAACGCTCCAAAAGGTTAATTTTCCGTGTCCCAAGATGGTCGTCCGGCAGCCGCAATCACGGAACGGGGAAGCGCAATTTAGCAATTGTCGTAGAGATCAGTAAAAAAATATGGAACGCATACCCTCCTAGCATCCATCAGGTAGGGATAAGCATTCTGTGCAGTCTATATGCCCATCAATGTCAACACATGTAGCCATTTGCAGGCAGTCGCATCCTTTCGAAGATCAATCTGGCCTTCGTCAGGCACCAGCTTTCGCTCTCAGCACACAACCACTGTTGGTGGGCTTCGAGGCTGCTCGCATCTTCACCCTCCACAGGCGGGGCAGCCCCGGTCTGTAAATGTAGAACATGAATATGGCAGGTATTATTTGATAACACTTTATGTTTTGGCCGTGTAAAGAAAATCTGCATTCCATTTTCTAACATATCTGTTATAAAAATAACAAGGTCAGGTGGAACGGCTCGAGTTCGCTGATGAAAGACAGAGGGCTTAGCCTGAACCAATATCCTAGCAGCCTTCGATATTGGTGTGGGGGGAGAGAAGGCTGAACCTCTAAAGATGTCTTCAAATGATTCTCTAATTGCTTAACTCCAAAGTTTCAGGCTGCTGCATTTGAATGTTCTGAACTTTTTCCAACATATATTTGCGCTGTCGCTAACCATGTTCCATTTGCCAATTTTTTACACGCCCCTTCTCCTCCAATCAGAACAGCACGAGAGTCCGCCGTGAACAGACTTGGCATCATCGTGTGTCATATATCCCCGATGATTGCCCATTAAAGCCAAGGCTCGAGCACAAGCTCATAGCATCGCTAGATGGTCGCACTGCACGAACCCTCGTGCAGCCTGAGTATCTACTAGTACTGTTAAAAGCGAGCGAGTTGAAAATGAATACTTAAAATCGAAAGAATAAAGCGCGAGGGACAAGCACAGGACAACCACGTAAAGCCTGGTTCAAACAGTTGCGTTTGACCGCGTTGCGGCTGCGAGAAACCAGGACATCCCTGCTGCTTATATCGCGTGCCAAGATGATTCTTTGAATTGGAATCCACGCTTCATACGAAGCACAGATGTGCCGGTGACTCGTTTTCGGTTCTAAACGCAACGCAGACAAACACACTCAAACGCAAGTGTCGGAACCGACCTTTACGGTACAGGCTCACAGTAAAGCTGTGAGCCCGAACCGTCTCGCACGTCTAGCCTTCGCTTTAGTACATCTCAGGATAAGAAGGAATGTATCATAATAGAACCGATGTGGTCTCACCATTCTGAGCAGAAGTGCGTGAGTAACCGATGCTATTTTCGTGGTCGCTTGCACGTAAACAACCAAGGAGCTTGTACACAACGCCGGCATTCATCTGGCTTGAAAACACCTTGAGTGTTGGCTTGGCTTGGATGTCAGCTGCCCATTGTGCTTACTTGAACTTCACGAAATCCTCTATATTGAGCAGGCTGCTTCTTGACTTCTGCTGTCGGCGCGTATGTCTGCAATTCGGCGGTTTCCGAGTTCGACGATTCGGAAATCATGGGTGTACCACCGCAACACCCTCTTAACACGATTTCGGTAGCCGTAGGGTGTAAAAAGGATGTACGAAGGGTGTAGGCCTTTCCGTACACCCTTGAATATTCAAAAATCATGTAAAAATGGTGTAGGAAGGGTGTGAGCTCGGAAAAACACCCTTTTAACACGAACATGGGTGTTGAAATTTTTAGTGTGTAGGACATTTTTCGCGGTCACAGCCAACTTCGACTGCGCTCTATCCCCCCTGGAGCGCAGCCGCGAAGTTGGCCATGACCGCGAAAATCGGGCATCTAAGTAAACAGCAGTTAAAGTGACTGCGACGAGTTCCCATTGGTTGCGCCGCGTCATGTAAGATGCTTCGTCACGGAGGTCGGCGGGGCGTTCAAGCTCAAAGCGGACGCACCTCAGAAATAGAACACAAAGAAAAGCACAGCAACGCAGATGCTTCGTCACGGAAGCCGTGACGCGGCACACCGGCGGGTGTGCCGCGCCTGCGCCGTGAGGAAGCGTGATGTCGCCGCCGGAGTGCCGTGTGAAAAAGGAAGACGTGGCGCGCTGCTTGTAGCAATGCGCTGCGTGTAGGAATGCTTTCGCATTCCTACACGCAGCGCATTAGGGAATGTACTTATAAGTTGGGAATTGTACTTTCCTCGGAAATTACCAGAAGAAATACTTTAGAAAAGTTCAAGTACATGCTCAAATAATTTACTTCAAGTAAGATACCTGTTTTCTAATCCTACTTAAAGTAGTACTTTAAGTGAGTATTACTTTAATTATAATATTTTTAAGGTACTTCCCAACTCATCTTTATTTTTTAATGAAAACATTGGGGCTTTACTAAGCTTCTCGAAAGGTCTTCGAATCTTAGAAGACGGCATAATCTGAGTTTTATTTGGAAAGGCAACGAAAAAGCCTCCTTTGCGTTGCCCTTTAGCACGCGATTCTTCAAGTACAGCACAAACTACCGGAGCACCAGATGAGCTTCAGAGCGGGTGCGGCATTTTGTTGACTTCTTTGAGTGAGGACGCGGTGTGTACACCTCCTGTAGTGAGCGAGAGTTCTTACGTTTCTTTAAACGTAGGAACTACGTTTAAAAAAAAGCGTTTAATGCGTTTCTTTAAATGCGTCAAGTCTCCATGAGCTTCAGGACACAAAAAAATACCGGTTTTCTGGCACTAATCCCGCGGTTATACTCGGCCTCACTTGCGACGTGTCTCTCCGCTCCCCGCGCCTCGTGGCGGTGTTGTTCCAGGGGGGGTTTGAGAAACTTTTAGATGGTTTTGTACCCTACGAACTACACTCCCACCTTCCCCCCCCCCTCCCCCCCGGCCTACGTCATATGCTTCACCCGCTTTGCAAATATCAGCTGATCTTTCAAATTAATATCTCTCCTTGTGCAGGAATGTTTGTTGATAGGCCGACCTACCGCTAAAATTCGAAAGTAATTTGTAATCTGAGTAAAAGTTACTCGAAAAAAGTAATTAAAGTAAACTACTAATTACCTAAATAAAAGAAAATGTAATTAAAACTTACTAACTACTTAGAAAATTGGTTAAACTACAGTCTCTTAAGTAGAATAGTTGAGCTATACGTACAAGCCTGCTTTGCGCGTATTCTTCGTTTCAGCGTAAGTCCAGACGTGGCCGACGCTACGAGCTTATGGGACGAATCAAGCAGCGTCAAAAGCGCGAGTCATTGGGCCTGTTTTGTCTATTCGTGGTTCAGTGATGTAAGAACACGTGCAGACACATGACGAACACCATGATGGTGCCCTTTCGACGCTGTCCGATTGGTTAGACCAGCTCGTAGCGTTGTCCGCGTCTCGACTTGAGCTTAAACGAAGTATAGACCAACACAGTGTTTACTAAGGAGTCTGCTTTGCCCGCACCAGGCACGGGCACTGCGCCTGCGCAGAAACCGAATTCGCGTGAAGCGAAGCGTCTGCGCATGCGCAGTACCGAGTGCAGCGCCACCGCAGGGGCGTGACGTCCGCTAGCTAAATTGGTCTATAGAAACACGAAAAACAAAAATGAAGTGCACTTTTTTAGGTTTTGAGAAGAATATGTGACGAGCAACGTAACTACATTACGCGTTAGTTGAAATAAGTAACGCAAGTACGTAGTAAACACGTTACTCCGTTGCAAAAAAAAAAGTAAGGCGTTACCGGTAACGCCGTTGCCCCTAACTCATTACCGCAAAAAACGCTCTACGCTCTATGCGCGTAGAGCGTCAACACGACGCCTTTCACAAGATCAATTTTTTGTGTGTGGGCTGCTGGTGTCCGAAAAATGGCTGCGGCCTTTTCTTTTTTTTTTTTTAATGCAAAAATATATAAAAAAGGATACATTTAGGAAATTACCGTTTTTTCTTGACTGGACTCGTGCTGATCGGGCGGGACGAGCGCAGCAATGCGGGCACGTCTAGCGACCGACGGCGAGCACCGGCGCACCCGGGGCAACCGCAAAGTCTCGATGCTGGGCAACCGGACCAGCGAAGAGCCAGCCCGCTCTTCCTGCGACGACAACGGACAAAATCCGAGTGAGGACGTTCCCATGCGGCGGATGAACCGCCAAAGCGCTGTTTACATACGAACGTGGCTTGCTCGTAAACAGCAGCGTATAATGGCACACCGGGAGCGGGCAGTTTTTGTTGCGTGTGCACCACTGATCTCTACTATAGGGGGCTGGATGGCACTTAGCTGCTCTCCCAGCCTGGCGCAAGTGAAGCCACCGGAAGTTCGATGCTTGTCCCAGAAGTCAGACGTGCGCTGGGCTTCCTAGTGCATTCAGACAATATTTTGGTCCATGCTTTTTGGGGTCTTTGATTGGGTTTTAATACTCCCGTTCTGGATTAAATCCCGAAAATGAGGCATTTGAACTTGCGACATATTCACAACTTGATCAACTAGAATCTCAAAATGCATGGCTTGCCATGATACTTCTGGGGTCCTAGAATCTCAAATTGCATGGCTTCCCATGATACTTCTCGGGTCCGCATGCGCTCTTACTGCGCAACAAGCAGGCTCTCTTGAGGGAACAAGCGAAAATCCAGCGCCCTCGACGCTTTTCGAACCAGCACTCGGAAGGGTTACAAAGCCTGCCAAGCGCTCACTTCCGGGACAAGCCGCTCACTTCCGGTAGCTTCATACCTGTTTGCTCAATGCGCCATCCAGCCCCTCTAGAGGAGATCAGTGGTGTGCACCATAGAGATCATACATACTAACTCTAGAGGAAAAGGTCCGCCATTTTCCCATACATTCTGGCTGCCGCAAGCGGCGGAGTATGCAGGCAGACCCTCGGGGTCCCACATGGTTACCAGCTGCCTTCGATTTCACAAATATATCATCAGAGCAGTGTCATGAACTTCAACAATCCTCGAACTTACCGGTGGAAAGATATTCGCGTTCCTTTCGAAGCTTTCTTTTTGCATAGCTAGCACGCAGACGTACGGCCTCCCGTCAACTCCAAACTAAACCAGATAACCGGCTTCGGTTATCTGGTTTAGTTTCGTATTTCCGGGCGCGGGTGGCCGCGCCCGGAAATACGAAACCGCGCAACTACCAGATTTTCGAGATATCGACAGAAGGGAAGTTAATGCAGCGTAATGAGTATGCTGCTTTTTACAAACCTTAGAATAGCTCAGAATTTAGTTTGCAACGTTAAATTATCACTGTTTATATTGCTGAGAGTTTTCAGTCTTCGCGATTACCATTGCGACTGTCGTCCTTCAGCTGGCAACATTGGTTTCTTTCTCTCGTGTTCTGTCGCTCTCTTTCGCGATCTTTCACTCGGGACCCAGGACGTCGGCGCGCGGGATTAGCCACTCCTCCTCACCCACCTTTACCCCCCTGGTGTGCACAATCCATCTGCGCATGCGCTATGCAGAGTTTGGGAAGCTTTCTGTACCTCCACGTAGAGCCACTAAATAAGCTACGCTTAGAGTATCGGCAGTCTCCGCCATCTTGGTGCTTGTGCAGAGCAGACGCAAATGCCGATTGTCATGATTTAAAAGTGCGACTTTCTCAGCATTAAATTTTGTGTTCGAAAGCTCATGCAATATTGCTTTGCTCTATCGCGAACTGTATAAACATTTGTGGAGGACGAAAAAGCGCTTCTTGTGATTTCAGATAAAGCTTGAGATAACTGGCAACAATGATTTTAAGCTCCAAGGTGGGTAAGTGTGGTTACTCTAAAGCGTAGCTTTTAGTGGCTCTAGGCCCAGCCACGCTCAAGGTCGAGTAATCAAGGTCACGAAATGCCCGTGACTGAAGCGCTCGTAGCTGAAGCGCTCATGGCTGAAGCGCCGGTGGCTGCAGCGTCCATGGCTCAAGCGCCCTTGGCTGAAGCGCTGGTGGCGCAAGCTCTTAAGCGTCCGTCCCGTAAGCTCCAATCACGTAAATGCCGGTTGCGTAAACTGCGGTCGCGTAAGCTCGTAAGCGCAAGTCGCGTAAGCTCTTAAGTGCCGGTAGGTGGAGCTGACGTGACCTGACGTTTTTGACGTCGCCCTCGACGTCGTCCTAAGAGGTTGTGTCGCCCTCTAGGTCGTCGTCTTAGATGGCGTCCAAGACGTCGTCCTAGAGGCCATAGACGTCCTCTAAGACGTCGTCTCCGACGACGAAAAAAAATTGTGCCTTGCCTCCAATTTTACAGTACGAGCATTTATGTACGCATGTAAGGAACGCTGCATGTATCTATGTATGTACATAAAACATTATGTGTGTACGGCATATTACAACCATATCATCAACATACCATTTCCTTTCCTAATTGTTTTCACTAGCGATGTTATTGTAAAGCTAACACATTTCATCGCGTTTGGTCGAATGAACAAAGCTACAACAATTTAACCGGGTTTCGTGGGTTGTTTGTTTAGTTTAGACTTTCTTTTAACGTGGAACGTTCTTTGGCTAGGTGTTTGGCATTTCGTGAAGCCAAGATAAAAGCTTGACACCGAAGCTCTGCACTGATTGGTTGACAGGTGGGAGAGGAGGAGGGGTGCTTTACGCTGAGTGGTTAACAGAGGGTTCATGTGACCAGAGGGGTAAGCGAGAATAAGCTCGACCACATGTGCGGAATAAGGAAGAAGAGCTTGAGAGTATGGAAAGGTTTGGAAGATCGCCAGGTTTATCAGCCCGATTAGCGGTAGTAGCGCTTCATTGTAGGAACAACTACCAAGTATACACGTTGTACACATTAAACTACTTGATGAAAAGTGCCGTGAACGTAGTCACCTGACTTTTGAAAACTCAAAATATTGCTAAACGTTTGTGATACTGGAACGTGTCACGTGTGCAACAAAATTGCCTAAAAATTTGCGATACATTTTTGGCTCCTGTATAACGAGTGGATTGGCTACGAAACGATCCGGATGTTATATAAATGTTGTGAATTCAAGCATTGCCTCCTTGACCTTCCTTGACCGGCGTGAACGAACAACAAGGGTTCTCAAGCCCCGAGTAAAATGTTTATTAGATTGCAGTCCGCGCCGCGGTTATACGATACACGCATTTTCTGACAGAAAATGTCATCCAATCAACTGCAAATTTTATAACATAATATTCAGCACCCTCGTCCATATAAAACTCGCGAAATAAATTACGAAAAGTAACGGTGCCGCATTTTGTAATATTTAGCACAACTAAGCAGACATCTGGTATCGACTGCACGACATTTCTTTTCGGAAAATACGCTTTGAAACGCGATGCCGAATGCAAGCAAGATGCTCTTTTCTTTACCGCCCCTATTGACTACTTTCTACTCCGGATTTCAAAGCTCCAAAATTCTAAGCATGAGACGTACAAATAACAACGAAAATATTTTAACGGGGAACGTTAACTTGAATTTGAAACTATTTTCACGTCTTCAGAAAATCTTGGCGCCTTGGACGTCAAAATGACACGAAAAATTATTGTGAAAGCGGGCGTAGAAATAGTTACTGCCTTTGCCTTACCTTGCCAAGGCCTTATAAAGAGTACTAAATTTTTGAAATGCAGAATTTCTAAATTAAACGATTAAATTCATTATTCATAATAGAGTCATCCGTTACTATGGACGCAACCGTTCCGAAAAAAGTCGTTCATAATATCGAATATGCAGGTGACAGCCCTTACCAAAAGTATGGAGGCGAGAGCGTAGGTGGCTTTGGCGTAGCCGTTGGAGAAAAGTGGATGGAGGATTTTACATCCGGACCCTCTTTCGAGTGTCCCAGACGTCGCTTTGTCCCGCCCGCGCCTGTCAACTCAAAATTAGTACAAAGGCGTCATTCTTCTCTCTCCTGCACGCCTGTCTTCAAGCACTGGGCACACCGAGTGAGTCACGTGTCTCCACCCGACGTGCTGATTGGCTTGATTGGATCGTAGCAATTAGCTTTGTGGCTCCAGAGCTTGCCTCCCATTCCCCAAACAGTGACGAGTTCTACAGTGAGGGGACCATACCCGTTTTTACGTCAAGAACCGTAGTAAAACAAGTCCGGCTTCTCGCAGAACATTACTAATTCTTCTCTTTTTGTGGATAATCAAGATATATGTAGGTGAATTGTAGATTAGATATATGTTATCTTATCAAGACCTACAGGTTCCAAACGCCAGAAGCATTGCTTTTTCCTTCGATAACCAAATCTCGTAAGAACTACTTCGCGCCGCGTATAAATAAACAAAAATGCCTGATATTACGCAATTCGTCACCAAAATAGCAACCCATAATCCCGACTGCGGGTTTCGATATTAACGGGGATGGCGAAAGATTGGTCGTCGAAAATTTCGCTCATAATCCGGGGTGGTGTCCATATTAACGGGGTGTATATTAATGAAACACGACGTTATTTTGTATTCCGAGAGCGTTTTAAAATATTCGAGGGCAGAAACTTAAGTCCGAAGAAAAGGGAAGAAGGTTATTTGATTCTTGACCAGCAAAAAATAAGTCAGTATCCGACTCGTCCGCTTCAATAATTTATTATAAAAAAAGTATATATATTTATATATATCCGCATTTTTTCTTTTCTTTTTTCTTTTCATTTCAGATATGCCTTTGACTACACACGGCTTGTTTAAGACTTTACAGATTTGTATTAAAAATGCCGCAAAAGTGCGCTAATACGGTTTCTGCAGGCAAGTTATACGGCCAGGGGGATAATCGTAACAATGAGCCCACTGATTAACTACATCTTGTGATTGGTTTCATTTGCTGAAGATAAAGGTATGGTTTTAGTCAGCAATTTTCGAAGCGTCATCAAAATGCACACGCACACACAAATTGAGAAAAGTCTGAGGCACGTGGGAAGCGCGCTGGTGCGCTGAAGTTGCCATTCGTCGCCATGCAACAGACGCAAGGCTAGTGGTGCGAAAACGTTTTCGCGCGGTTTTTTCGTCTCTGATCCGTGTTTTCGCAACACCAGCACTGCGCCCTTCGCACGAGCGGTAAATTTAGAGCACAACCGCACTTCCCACGGGCCACATATATTTCGAAAATGCATACATTTAGTGAATTTTGGTAACAGCCAGTTTCTAATTAAAATCATACGTTCATTTTTCTTAAATAAAAATGTAATTGTTGTATT